TTCACAGAGTAAGAGCCATATTATGTGCTATAAATGTTGTGTTGGCCCCAAAAGATGATTGTTTTAGCGGCAGTGACCGTCTCTCCACTCTTTACAAACTCCTGCTTTGAGAGAGCGGCAGAATATTTGCATTTACATTTTTACAGTGATACCGCAGAGTACTCACGAGAGCCTTTTATGCTTATGGACCAAGCAAAAATACCTTTCAATGATATTTATATTCATGAAAAAGCCTCTATGCAGCCATTTATCAGGGTCAGAGGCACAGAAAGAGCAAGCCACAAAGGCATTCACGGTCTTTACGGCACAGTTTCACCCAAAGCCAAATAGATAATTCAACTTGATGGCGCACAGAGGTTAAGCTGTGATACTATTTTCCCTCTGATCTGAATTAAAACAGATCGGTCTGACATTAACAATGGATTTCTTTTGTCATCTCGTTACGGAGCCATTTGGTGTCACTCTGTACAAACATGATACGTGCGTTGCCAGGTTTGTTATTGGGCCGAATATGTATGAGCATCCCTCTGCGGCCCTTTGTACCTGCTCCATGCGCCGCAATTATAGTCTCATTAATTGTTGATTATTTTAAATGTTATTGAGGCGAACAGCGCTTCAGACCTCATCTGCGTAAAGCACGGATTAGTGGCGGAAAAGAAACTGCTTACGTTTATTAAAGGCAGTCATTTTCTTTTTAAAGTCGACAGATATATGACATTTCTCGATAAGGTATCCATCCATTTTCTTCCCCTTAATCCATTTCTGGGTCAGGGGGGTGGCAGTCAGAGCTGCACCCAGTCCACAGAGCACCAGCCCCTCACTGATCCTCCTGCAGGTGCTGTGTCCACAGGAGCTGAGATCTTTCAGCGGGGCTTCAGGCAAAGTGGGGTTAATTGTCTTGCCCAAGGACACAACAACAGCAGACATCAGTGGAAGTCGTGAAGTAGGTCTTACGGTGACCCACGACCTTCAGGCCCAAAGGTCAATGCTCTGCCAAATGAGCCACTGTTGCCCCATTCTGAAATCTTGTTTTTTTAACCTATTTCTTATAGTTATTTACCGTCCAGTCCCAACATATAAACTATCCCACAAACAAATTGGAAGTAGCAATGATTCACTAAAGAAATTCAATATTAATAAAGTCAGCGGCTGTTTGGTTTGACAAAGGGGACATCTAAAAGTTTTTGTTTAGAATCAGAATCATTGCAACAGGAAGTCACAGGTTTGGAAATAGCTTTGGCTCTCGGTGCAAATAAGTCAAAAGTAGAATAAATAGGTTGAATAAATTAATATATCAATAGTCAGTCAATTTCTTCCTGTAATTTCACGATAAGGAGAAACTGCTGTTCACACAAGAACTCCCAGAGCAGTCAATTTGACGGCTTAAGTTTTGGAAGCGAGATTTTTCAGCTCATGAACAATTTTACTTTTCTGAACGTTGTGAATTTGTTTTTATCTGTACTTTATATCTCCGTCATTATTTGTGAAAAAAATCAGTCACATTTCAACAACCAAAATCTGTTTAATAAATGTTGTCAATGCTGGTTCAAACTACAGTTATCTCGACATCAGCACACACAGACAGATTACAGACTGCACTAGTCCGGGTCTCGCTAGATGTAAAGCAAAAAGACAATGAACTAAGCAACACTTGCTTCAGTATCAGACGCCTCCTGGGTTGGTCACAAGGCACAGGATGTCAACAATACACATGTCATTCAATAATCTTGTAGACCAGTCCCGAGTCTGAGCTTGAGGGTCTCTCTGCAAGCTCGTATTGTCCTTCCCAGATATCCACATCCCCATTGACCCCAGAGAAGGATCGAGTCAGCTGTCATAAGACACAATTTTAACAAAGCATCTATCCACAGGACATACAGGTGCAGTCTCATGACACAGACGCTGCTGAGATGCAAATGGAGGTCCTATCGTCTCCAACGTCACATTGGCCTTATGATTGAGATAAGTGATTTTCTGCCATTGAGTGCTGACATTGTCCCATCACATTCTATATGAAGACCCATACATTTATTAGAGGGCTCTGTTTCTACGTCAATACAAACTGGTGTAACGATGTGACAGTGATCTCCAAGCACTGCTCTCCTGCTCTGGAATATCTTTTCATTCATTGTAATCCATATTACTCCCCGCGGGAAATTGTTTCATTCATTCTTGCCTCTGTTTACATACCGCCATGCGCGGACGCGCGCGAGGCTCAGCGCGCACTCGCAGAGCAAGTACTGTGTATGGAACGCTTATACCCGGACTCTCTGATTATTATCCTGGGGGATTTTAATAAGGGAAACTTGAGCCAGGAATTACCCAAATACAGACAGTTTATCAAATGCCCGACCAGAGAGGAGAACACTCTGGATCACTGTTACACCACCGTGCGCGGAGCTTTTCGCGCTGTTCCCAAGCCAGCCCTCGGCTTCTCAGATCACTCCATGATACATCTGGTTCCTGCTTACAGACAGAGACTAAAGCTCTCGAAACCTGCAGTGAGGAGCTCCAAAGTGTGGTCTGATGAAGCTGTGGAAGAGCTGCGCGCATGCATGGAATCTACAGACTGGGACCTTTTCAGAGCTGCCACAGACAGCTTGGATGAATATACGGACACTGTGACGTCATACATCCACTTCTGTGAGGATAGCATCATTCCAACAAGGACCAGGGTCATCTATAACAACGACAAACCCTGGTTCACTGCTAAACTCCGGCAGCTCAGGAAAGCAAAGGAGTCTGCTTTCAGGGAGGGGGACCGCAGCGGCTACAAAGCAGCTAAATATCAGTTCAGGAAAGAACTGAAAGCAGCCAAGTCCCGGCACAGAGAACGACTACAGGAGCAGTTTGGTAACAACGATACTGCTTCTGTCTGGAGGGGCCTACGGGAGATCACAAACTACAAACCCAAAGCCCCCCCCTGTGCTGATGACCACAAGCTAGCTGACGATCTGAACTTATTTTTCAGTCGCTTTGATGCTGCCCCTGACACCTCTCCCTCCCCCACCCCCCACTACTCTAACGACCCACCCATCAGCCCTGCCCCCAGCCTAACAATAGCCGCTAAAGAGATTAAACAACTCTTCCTGAGGCTGCACCCCCGCAAAGCTCCTGGCCCGGACCACGTGTCTCCGGCCACTCTGAGACACTGCGCCAGTGAGCTTACTCCTGTGTTCACGGACATTTTCAACTCCTCTCTGCAGTCCTGCCATGTCCCGGCCTGCTTCAAATCCTCCATCATTGTCCCCGTCCCGAAGAAGCCCAGGATCACAGGACTCAATGACTACAGACCTGTAGCACTTACGTCTGTCGTCATGAAGTCATTTGAACGCCTGGTTCTCTCCCATCTCAAGTCCCTCACCTCCCCCCTCCTGGACCCCCTGCAGTTCGCCTACAGAGCCAACAGATCTGTAGACGACGCCATTAACCTGGCCCTCCACCACATCCTACAGCACCTGGACTCCCCGGGGACCTACGCCAGGGTCCTGTTCGTGGACTTCAGCTCTGCTTCAACACAATCCTGCCATCCCTGCTCCAGGACAAGCTCTCCCAGCTCAACGTGCCCGATTCCACCTGCAGGTGGATCACTGACTTCCTGACGGACAGGAAGCAGCGAGTGCGTCTGGGGAAGAATGTCTCGGACTCTCGGATTATAAATACAGGAGCCCCACAGGGCTGTGTTCTTTCTCCCCTGCTCTTCTCCCTGTACACCAACCACTGCACCTCCAGCCACAACTCCGTGAAGCTGATCAAGTTCGCGGACGACACCACCCTCATTGGACTCATCTCCAACAACGATGAGTCCGCCTACAGGAGGGAGGTGGACCGGCTGGTGTCCTGGTGCAGTGGTAACAACCTGGAGCTGAACGCCCAGAAGACAGTGGAGATGATTGTGGACTTCAGGAAGAGCACTGTCCCCCCGCCCCCACCCTCCGTGATGGACTCCCCCATCACCTCTGTGGAGTCCTTCCGTTTCCTGGGCACCACCATCACCCAGGACCTCAAGTGGGAGCCGACCATCAGCTCCCTCATCAAGAAGGCCCAGCAGAGGATGTACTTCCTGCGGCAGCTCAGGAAAGCCAAGCTGCCTGCACAGATGTTGGTGCAGTTCTACACGGCCATCATCGAGTCCATCCTCACCTCCTCCATCACCGTGTGGTTCGCTGGAGCCACAGTCAGGGACAAACAGAGACTACAGCGCATTGTGCGCTCTGCAGAGGAAGTGATCGGCCGCAGCCTTCCATCGCTGCAGGACCTGTACGTCGCCCGAGCTCAAGGCCGGGCTGGTCGTATCACAGCCGACCCCTCTCACCCTGCACATGGACTATTCCAACCACTCCCCTCAGGCAGGAGGCTGCGGTCCATCAGGACTAGAACCTCCCGCCACAAGAACAGTTTCTTCCCCTCTGCTGTTGGACTCTTGAACACTTCTTAACCTGTCCCCCCGCCCTTTATATAGTCACTTTACTGCCCATCATACGTCACTTTACTTCACTGTACTGCTGTCACCTTACATTGTGTGCACCATGTGCACTTGTATATTGTAAATAGTAACTGTAACTCTATTTTAAATTTAAATTTATTCTTTAGAAGTGTTTTTTATTCTTATTTTTATTATCTCTTTTTGACTGTTGCACTGAGCCAAAGCAATTTCCAAGTCTGTGACCTCCCGTTACTTACGTTGGCAATAAAAATGATTCTGATTCTGATTCTGATTCTGATTATTAACATGCTAATAAAACATAACATTTCTTAACATTATTGTATTGACATTTTCTATTATATTGGAAATGTATACAACACAAATTTGAGTGTAGTTATTTGCTGTTGCGTGATAAGTAAGTGAGAAAAGTTTATTTGTATAACCAACTCTCTATGTGAGTAAAATATCTGTTCTGTGGTGCTGGTCCTGGACCGGTCCTGGTTCCGAGCCAAGTCAGCTTAGTTTTCCATCAGAGAAGTACAGACACCACATGCTGACCACGTGTCTGGGTCACATGGTCAAGTACAGATACCACTTGCTGACCACGTGTCTGGGTCACATGGTCGAGTACAGACACCACATGCTGACCACGTGTCTGGGTCACATGGTCGAGTACAGACACCACATGCTGACCACGTGTCTGGGTCACATGGTCGAGTACAGACACCACATGCTGACCACGTGTCTGGGTCACATGGTCAAGTACAGATACCACTTGCTGACCACGTGTCTGGGTCACATGGTCAAGTACAGACACCACTTGCTGACCACGTGTCTGGGTCACATGGTCAAGTACAGATACCACTTGCTGACCACGTGTCTGGGTCACATGGTCAAGTACAAACACCACATGCTGACCACGTGTCTGGGTCACATGGTCAAGTACAGACACCACATGCTGACCACGTGTCTGGGTCACATGGTCGAGTACAGACACCACATGCTGACCACGTGTCTGGGTCACATGGTCAAGTACCGACACCACATGCTGACCACGTGTCTGGGTCACATGGTCAAGTACCGACACCACATGCTGAAGTGTTTTGCCACGTGTCTGGGTCATATGGTCAAGTACAGACACCACTTGCTGACCACGTGTCTGGGTCACATGGTCAAGTACAGACACCACTTGCTGACCACGTGTCTGGGTCATATGGTCAAGTACAGACACCACATGCTGACCACGTGTCTGGGTCACATGGTCAAGTACAGACACCACTTGCTGACCACGTGTCTGGGTCACATGGTCAAGTACAAACACCACATGCTGACCACGTGTCTGGGTCACATGGTCAAGTACAGACACCACATGCTGACCACGTGTCTGGGTCACATGGTCGAGTACAGACACCACATGCTGACCACGTGTCTGGGTCACATGGTCAAGTACCGACACCACATGCTGACCACGTGTCTGGGTCACATGGTCAAGTACCGACACCACATGCTGAAGTGTCTTGCCACGTGTCTGGGTCATATGGTCAAGTACAGACACCACTTGCTGACCACGTGTCTGGGTCACATGGTCAAGTACAGACACCACTTGCTGACCACGTGTCTGGGTCACATGGTCAAGTACAGACACCACTTGCTGACCACGTGTCTGGGTCATATGGTCAAGTACAGACACCACATGCTGACCACGTGTCTGGGTCACATGGTCAAGTACAGACACCACTTGCTGACCACGTGTCTGGGTCACATGGTCAAGTACAGACACCACATGCTGACCACGTGTCTGGGTCACATGGTCAAGTACAGACACCACTTGCTGACCACGTGTCTGGGTCATATGGTCAAGTACAGACACCACATGCTGACCACGTGTCTGGGTCATATGGTCAAGTACAGACACCACATGCTGACCACGTGTCTGGGTCACATGGTCAAGTACAGATACCACTTGCTGACCACGTGTCTGGGTCACATGGTCAAGTACCGACACCACATGCTGACCACGTGTCTGGGTCACATGGTCAAGTACCGACACCACATGCTGAAGTGTCTTGCCACGTGTCTGGGTCATATGGTCAAGTACAGACACCACTTGCTGACCACGTGTCTGGGTCACATGGTCAAGTACAGACACCACTTGCTGACCACGTGTCTGGGTCATATGGTCAAGTACAGACACCACATGCTGACCACGTGTCTGGGTCACATGGTCAAGTACAGACACCACTTGCTGACCACGTGTCTGGGTCACATGGTCAAGTACAGACACCACATGCTGACCACGTGTCTGGGTCACATGGTCAAGTACAGACACCACTTGCTGACCACGTGTCTGGGTCATATGGTCAAGTACAGACACCACATGCTGACCACGTGTCTGGGTCATATGGTCAAGTACAGACACCACATGCTGACCACGTGTCTGGGTCACATAGTCAAGTACAGACACCACTTGCTGACCACGTGTCTGGGTCACATGGTCAAGTACAGACACCACATGCTGACCACGTGTCTGGGTCACATGGTCAAGTACAGACACCACATGCTGACCACGTGTCTGGGTCACATGGTCAAAAATAACACAAATATATTCAAATTTCATAATCAACATTATTATACCTTGGATGTACCTTTCTGTATTCTGTGTGGCGTGTTGACTGTCTCTGGCACACCACGGACTTCTGCACAAATACTCAAATGTGGTTTCATGCTTTAAATTACCATTAAAGACCTTCTCCACCGACTCCCACTGATGTCTGCTGTGTCCTTGGGCAAGACACTTCACCCACTTTGCCTATAAGGAGCCCTTGCCTTGTGTGTATTCATCCCACTGAAATTCCTACTGTCTTCTTCTAAACTGGATCTGAATCATATCTGGAGCATTTGCACATGATTTACGAAAATATATCGGCCAAAGCCCAGACCAGACGAGAAAATCTACTCGCTCTCGTCAAGTGCAATAAGAGCGTAACCTTGCAGGCGCTCAGACGGCACATGCACGTGTTTCAGGGAACGGAGGGACACCCCAGGCCGTGGCGTTGGGAAAGCAGCGGGCGCATAATGAGCGATGGGCAGAGGCCTCTCCCCTAATGGGAAGATTTATTATCTCTCACTACCAATTAATCCCCACGGTCAGAGCAGGGCCGCGGGAGTGCACCAGGACTATGTAAAAGACAGACACGGAGCCAGGGAAGAAGCCGCCACCACCGAGGCCAAATGTACAAAAAAAAATTCTAATAAAAAATAAGATGACAGGGGTGAGGAGAGAGGAGACGGAAGCCAAGGAGAATGAGCCAATGATGTGCTGATAATACCAATTTTGAAGATTAACGGATAACAGTGATGGGAGTAGAACGGCGGCAAATAGAGCTACTTGGATTGGAACAAATAATGACGGTAGAAAATTGGATGATAAAATGAGCATGGAGAGTCGATGAGATCACAAGCATAAACCAGAATTATGGAACAGGCATATGGAGCTACGAGCAGCAATGGGCTTTTAATGTGTTCTTAGTCGGAAGCGTTGTGGAGGTGGGACCAGCGCAAGTGGGTCAATGGGTGCTATTTAAGGAAGCAACTTTTGGGACCGCATGAGTTCAACTGCGAGTGTCTTGCTCTAAACTAATGGACGGAGACTTTCTTTCTGTTAATTAGGACGATGGAATCAACCAAACTAATGATATGGTTGGTTTCATAGACCAAGGTCACACAACGCGTTTACAATTTGGTGTTTTTTTCCATTCACACACAGAGATGAACGAAGTGGTACAACTGGGGGAGCTATAGTCAAAATCTTATCTTGGGTTTTTACTCAGAAATGAGCTCTGGAGTCCTGACTAAGCACCTTTTGACCACTTTTATCTTTGTTTTACCTTCTTTTCATAACTTGTTGTTGTTAGATACAGTGTATTTTTGAGTGGATGCCAAGTCTCTCTCTTTTGAACTGCAAAAAGAATCTACCCATGGTCCCAAAGTCACCTTGAACCTTGAAATGTAGTGTTTTTAGAGGTTTTAATTTCTCGTGTGTCTCTTACCTTGGAACCTTCCTTGGGACTCTGGCTGAAATGTGGCAGTTATGCTAAGTCGGGTACATTTACACTGACGCTCAAGGCATTAAGATTGATATTAAGATTAAGAGACTAAGATTAAGATTTCATCAACATCCATGTTGAAGAGTGTGCATTGTCCCAACTCAATAAATAAAACAATGAAATGCTACACTGTAGAGAACATGCAAACTACACACAGAAAAGCCCCGTCTGGCCCATGATTTTATCATGGCTTGTTAGCATCTAAACCAGGGGTCTCCAACCTGTGACTCAGAAGCTGCCGTGTTCTCGTCACTCCTTTACAAGTAGCTCCTCAAAGGACATTTCAAAGAATCCTTGAATATTTGAATACCTGTGCTATGCCTACTCTGTAATACGTCTTTTATTTCGCAATTTGCATTAAAACATTCACATCCTTCAATAATTGGTTTACGGTTAAATACCCATAAAACAACCCAATTCCATTCGACACTGATGACTAGATTTATTTTGTAGTGCCTCTCTGCCCTTTTTGTCCTTGTCCTTAAAAGAGTAGCTCTGTATGGGAAAAAGGTTGGAGACCCCTGATCTAAACAATTGACACTTCTCACATGGTCCACATCATGAAACCAACACAGTTCCATGTTATGTCCTCTGCCACCAGCAACACACTGCTCTTCACATGTCCCCGTCACTTCCAGCTCCTCCAAAAGGACATTACAGAATAACCCGAAGCTCTCTCCCGACCCCTCCATCCTCGTTTCCTCGTGTATGTGATGTTATGGCGCTCTCGGCTGGTCCCCCCTCCCCTCCCATTTGACCATCCTTCCCCTTCTCTCGCTCCTCATTCTCTCTCTTCTCTCCGTGTTGACCTTGACAGTGATGTTGGGGGTTGATGATCCGCTCCACACCGCTGGGCTCTGCGTCATCGACCTGCACACATGCCCGGCTCGCGTCTGTATACCCACTGGGCGAGGGTCATCAGGGTAGACAGAGTCATCAGCCGGGCCAAACGCGACTCCCCACAGAACCACCAAAGTCTCTCTCTCTTTCTCTCTATCGTGTGGAAATATGCAGCAACACGGGAGGTTAAGTGTGGGGCTGTGTAGATGAGAAATGACATTGGTTGTTTTAGTGAGCTGTTGCGTCAGGGGGATTTGGGTTTTTGTAGCTGAAAGTTACAAGCTTTGCACCAATGGATGTGGTGTTTTCTGCTCGCGACAAAATGACAGCGGCTCAGGATTGTGTGATACAAAAAACAGACTATTTTTGCGAGTATTTTCACTACAGATGTAAGAGTTAAGAATGTGCAGTTTTGTGATGAGTTTAATGTAAGGAGTGATGACGAAATAGATACATGTTCCAGAGACAGGGAAAAGAGGCTGTTTTTGAAAGAAATGTTGAAAAAGATAATATACAAATGTTTTACAGTTTTTCTCTATTGCTAAAACACAATACCCAGTACTCTAAACCAAATGACCAATTGCCTAAACACATTTATTAAAACTTCCCCCCACTTCTCACAACCATCCATCCATTGTCTACCCTTTAATCCATTTCTGGGTCAGGGGGGTGGCAGTCAGAGATGCCACCCAAGTCTCATAGCACCAGCCCCTCACTGACCCTCTGCAGGTGGTGAGTCCACAGGAGGACGGCTGCTCTCTGAGTGTGAGCATAGCCTTGATCTTTCAGTGGGGACTTTGGGCAAAGTGGGGTTAAGTGTCTTGCCCAAGGACACAACGACAGCAGACATTTTCTCAAAACTCTAAACACATTTTTCTTTTGCTAAAACACATTTTTCCGTTGCTAAAACACTTTTTGCATGTATCTCTGCTCCTATAATCAATGTGAAGCTCATGTGATGAAAAATGTCTCCCACTGTCAGCAAAACCTGAACACAATGAACAGACCTGGTGTCATTCAGGCCACGGAGGGAGAGGAGCAGGCCACGGAGGGAGAGGAGCAGGCCACGGAGGGAGAGGAGCAGGCCACGGAGGGAGAGGAGCAGGCCGAGGAGGGAGAGGAGCAGGCCGAGGAGGGAGAGGAGCAGGCCACGGTGGGAGAGGAGCAGGCCGAGGAGGGAGAGGAGCAGGCCGAGGAGGGAGAGGAGCACGCCACGGAGGGAGAGGAGCAGGCCGAGGAGGGAGAGGAGCAGGCCGAGGAGGGAGAGGAGCAGGCCACGGAGGGAGAGGAGCAGGCCACGGAGGGAGAGGAGCAGGCCGAGGAGGGAGAGGAGCAGGCCGAGGAGGGAGAGGAGCAGGCCACGGAGGGAGAGGAGCAGGCCGAGGAGGGAGAGGAGCAGGCCGAGGAGGGAGAGGAGCAGGCCACGGAGGGAGAGGAGCAGGCCACGGAGGGAGAGGAGCAGGCCGAGGAGGGAGAGGAGCAGGCCGAGGAGGGAGAGGAGCAGGCCACGGAGGGAGAGGAGCAGGCCGAGGAGGGAGAGGAGCAGGCCGAGGAGGGAGAGGAGCAGGCCGAGGAGGGAGAGGAGCAGGCCACGGAGGGAGAGGAGCAGGCCGAGGAGGGAGAGGAGCAGGCCGAGGAGGGAGAGGAGCAGGCCACGGAGGGAGAGGAGCAGGCCGAGGAGGGAGAGGAGCAGGCCGAGGAGGGAGAGGAGCACGCCACGGAGGGAGAGGAGCAGGCCACGGAGGGAGAGGAGCAGGCCACGGAGGGAGAGGAGCAGGCCGAGGAGGGAGAGGAGCAGGCCGAGGAGGGAGAGGAGCAGGCCGAGGAGGGAGAGGAGCAGGCCGAGGAGGGAGAGGAGCAGGCCGAGGAGGGAGAGGAGCAGGCCGAGGAGGGAGAGGAGCAGGCCGAGGAGGGAGAGGGGCAGGCCACGGAGGGAGAGGAGCAGGCCGAGGAGGGAGAGGAGCAGGCCGAGGAGGGAGAGGAGCAGGCCACGGAGGGACACACCTGGACTATTGTGTTTCCAATTGTTACTGTACTGCAGTATCTATTGTGTCTAATGGATCCTCTATAGAATTTACAGTTACTCATGTTTGCATTGAGCTTTGATATAACTGCATTTTCTGCGTTATGTAACTATTCCCATGATACGCTCAAATCTATAGTAAAGGCCCAAAACATATTTGAGAATAAAAAAACGTGTTGCTCAAATGCATCCTGGCAGTTGTGAAACTGTAAAAAGAACAGTGTCACATTCTGAAAATTGTTTTTTCAATTGTTTTGGTGATGTGGTTAATGAGGCTCATAGTGTTCACATTTTTTGCAGACCATGAGAGGTGTTTTGGTGTCAAAGTTTGCTTTTGAGAATATGAGTCACTGTTTTGGTGTGATGAGTCGGTTTTGAAAAGAGACTGTGTTGTTGTGTGTACGTAGCTTTAGAAAAGAGGTTTGTGTTTAGAGTTTTGAGAAAAGGGAGGGCAGTATCGTGAAATGTGTTTAAGCAATAGAGAAAAACCGTAACTGATTGTTTTTTGACATTTAGTGGATTCACAAATCTACCATTGTATTCTCATGTCTGAAAGTGTCATGGTCTAGGTTTTATTTCCAGTTGTATTTTGTAACTTGTTAGCCCTGTATCTCAGGTGTACTTCCTGTTTACCTGCCCCGCCCTCATGTGTATCACCTGTGTCTGGTTAGTATTAAAACCCAGTGTATTTAAACTCTTTTTAAATCTGTAATTGTCATTCCATGTCTGTTTTTCTGCTTGTCATCAGTCCGTTTTCTTATTTTTTGTTTGTTGCAGTTTTTTCATTTTGCCCACATGACAGAAAGTCCCTTCTGAAAGTCCATTCTTCTCACAGAAATCATGTATATGTATTTGTTTTTTTGTTTTAGAATATTCTCACCTCTATAGAAGTTTGTGTGGGTATCCTTGTGTTTGTGTGTGTATCCTTGGGGTTGTAAGTCCCCAGAATATTGCTGTTTGCTTTGTTTTTGCAATGTGTGGCCAGCTAACACACACACACACACACACATTGAATGAGCTTCCCATTTCTTTTGTAAAATAAAAGTATGTTGTGTCCATGGAACATCTGCTGAAGGGTTCTCAATCACAGCTCTCCATTCTCTTTATTTACAAAATGTCATTAGTGTCACACACACATTTCTAGTTGTAAAGGTTTTTTGTAAATGTAAACTCCCAGGACGCTGCATTAGCTTCTAGACGAGGCCCTAAAAACAAGACCTGAGGAAACAAAAGATCTTTCACTGCATATATGTGTAAGGGAACAGGAACAGGAAGGTTTTGCTTCATACAGACACAGAAAGGATCTTTACACAACAGACATGTGTGTGGAACGGAGAGTAAAGTGATGCTGAATTCACAAACACAAAAGAAGACTGAAAATAGATTGTATTTTTTTATTTCAAACTTCGTATAACCCATACGGCAAACTGTACAATTAAATTATTCACAGTGTGTTAAAAAGAAAATATTTGAATAAGTCTTCTATAATATTTTGAAATTCCCCATGATTTTCTCTGACGTTGGTCGTTCTAACGTGGTCTTAAGACATTTACTAGGAAAAGAAAGCTGTTTTTTCTCTTTATTTTTTATAAAACCTTACAAAAACTATATTCATAGAAATTCTGCATGTCCACAAAGAAAACCCTGGTTGGCACCAACGTGTGTAGCGTTTTGTTTGAGAGGGTTTCTGACAAAGAATAGAAGCTGAACTCAAAAAAGAAAACATTAGTGACAGCTGGAACTCAAAGTCAACAGTGGAACACGGGTTATGTTGCGTACGTTTGTTGCATTACTTTTCTCTCACAATTCATACAGTTTTGTGTAAAATGTCATTACTATTCACATTAACTTGTAAAAAAGATGTGTATATATTCAAGAACCAAATGGACAGAACTGGTCGACGGTAAAATCCTATCGCTATTAAACCCATTTCAATCTGTTGGAGTGTTTTCGTATCTTCCATGTGACAGAAATGAAGTCTTGTGGACACTGTCTGCATGAGGAGCGACACTACATACAGAATGTGAGATCAGGTCCAAACTGGGCCTCACTGAGTCCAGTTTATGAGATCCACCCACTCCACCGGACAGGCCCTGAGCCCAAGGGGAAGCTCAGGGCGTCTCCTTATAAAATATAATGCAGATTTACATACATATCCCAGCTGGCCAATGCTATAGTCCAATAAACCATTTATTATAATGCATCTCCATAAAGGCTTCGACAGGTCCAGGCGTGGGGCTGGGATAAAGTGAGGAAGTACAGGTTAAAGTGACCTCTCTAGGAAATAAATAACTCTATTTAAATGTCAACAGAATTTATTCATAATAGCAGTTATAAATTTAGCAAAATACATTTTCCCACTGCTCTTATCTACAGACTCTACTTTTCCAAAGGGATTCATAAACAATTATACACTCTACTAAATCAATGCTAAATTTTACAGACTGTTCCATGGGTTACACATAGTTCCATTTCTCTGTGAATGTGAAACCTCATAGAGGTTCTTCTTTATTATCTGTGACAGCAGCTCGGACTCCATAATGGCACCTTGTTTTTGTGTCTCTTGTATCTTGTGTCTTGTGAGAGCAGGTTGAGTTCTCAGTGTTCACCAAACCAGACCATAATCCACCTGATGAGTGCAGATGCAGAGGGACATGGGCTACACACAGACTGTGTTGAAAGACGCACAATGGAAGAAGGCAACACTTCATTTTTCTGTCGGACACAGATCTCTCAAAGTCAAACCAGAACATGGTCTTTGTCTTAAGCTGCATTCACAACACAACGTCAACAACGCAACGTCAACAACGCAACGTCAACAACGCAACGTCAACAACGCTCCGTCCACCTCCATGTGAACCTGTACTGTTCCTCCTTGAGCGCGGTGCAGACGGTGTAAAGAGGCGTCCCTGACGTGTGTGAATGCAGCTTTAGACTCACCCTCAGACTGTTTGATGTTTCTACAGTGTAACTTTAGACACATATAATAATTTGGCCTTAAATGTAAAATACTATGATTACTCCTTTTGTTATTTCCAGAACTCATCGTCTTTACCATGTCCTCGTGAATATTGTGGTCTTTGGCAATAAATGCTTTGAGTTGACTTATCAAAATGAAAGTTTCTACTGATAATAGTTCTTAATGAAATGACTCATGCCAAGAACACACCATTTATAGCTTATTATGATATTATGCTTGGTTTCCTCCAACATCATCTTGCACCATGTGAACCAGTCCTTGTGTTCAGTGACTCCCTCCGGACAAGACTTTTGAGGTAACATTTTAGCTGTCGAAGGCCATTTGGGAGTGTTTCAACATGAGATAACTGCGTTGGCATTTCCGTATATACTTTAGGATTTCTGTCCATTATTGCGGCGTCTTCCCATTCTCATGTTATTTTTTGTCGCTCACACTCACGAGGCTTGTGTCTTTAAAGTCTTTGTCCCTTTCTTTATACTGTCATTTGGAGTACACTGGTGAATAGTGTCATACCTGCGTGGCTGAGGCGGCCATTTTGAGCGTGCCGTGCTTGGTCAGTGTCCCCATGTCGCTGTGTTTGATGGAGAATCTGGTGATGCCGTCGATGCCATTGTCCCGAGGCTCCGACAGCCCCCCCGACACGTTACTCAGGAGGCTCTTGGTTTGGGAATAGGAGCGGAGCGTCATGGAAAAACCGGAGTCATCCCAGTGCCCAAGCTCAAGCTGTCCTTTCCCGGGAGGCGACGGTGGTTGTAGGCGTGCATGTTGATCACTGCGTCGCTCTTCCTCGCGGGAGGGGGGGGCGGAGCCGGGGGGCGGTGCCTCAGCCGCCTCTCGCAGGTGAACGACAGTCTGATCTCGTCCACCATGGCGCTGCACAAAGACCTCTGGGCCAAAAGGGATCGAGATGGGGAGGAGAGGGGGAGAGGGGGAGGGGAGCGGGGGCAGACAGAACAGGGAGGGGGGGTAAATGCCTTAGCTTAAATTGCACTAGGGGGTGAGGAGGTGATGGAAGTGGGGAATGTGGACATGAATATTATGTTTATGAATGTTTAAGACTAGGACTCACAACATTATTAAACTAGTAGAACTCCCAGAGCCGTCATTTTGACTGCTCCCATTCAAAGTAAGTAATGTATAAGGTTTTTCAGTGTGACAAAAAAACAAAAAAAGCATTTGGTTGTTAGCATTGAAAAGCTAAATGCTAAATATGAAATTCTATTTACTCTTCAAAGAGAGAGCTACTCACGATTAAACAATGATCTTCTTGAAGATATTGACATACATAGAGTACATGGAGATACAAAATTAGTCATGAAGACCAAACAGCTAAATACTCTTCTTAAACCCATGAATATCTGTCCAATGTAAATGCAAATAACAATTCATGTACATGTTTAAAAGACATTTGTAAATGTGTAATCATTTCTAAAACTAGAAGCCGTTAATTTGACTGCTCTGGGAGTTCTAGTCTCAAAAACACCACAGATCTAATGTCTTGTCCCTGAAAGCCCTCATTTAAAAATGCTACTAATTCATTTAGTGGAATGAAAAAAGTCCCATCCATTACTGTATCATTCTCTCCCCCTCTTTCTGACTGCCCATCGAGTCATTTGCATTCTAGTTTCAATTACTGTACATGACAGAACACACACACACACGCACGCACTCGCACACACACACACACACACACACACACACACAGAGAAAGTGGCCGTTTTTATCCTCCAGTCACCCCCCTTAAACCTTAATAAACCATAATAAAACCCACGAGCCGGAGCCGAGAAGCGCTGCCGTATGGAAATGCCACCGCGACGGATTCTCACAGACACTGGAAACCGGACGTTTACGTAAAAAGACACATCATGATTACGTTTTTGTGTTTTTAGATCAGTTAGTTAGTTCTGTTTTAATCATAGCACTTCTATACAATCACATAGGTTTCATTTCAAGCATCCATCTATGCTCTTGGGTCTGAAGCCACAGCTGCCCTCGGACAGGCCGATTGAAGCAAACACCCATAAAACTCCCATATCTACTGACAAATTATACATTCACTATCCAGATTGGCCAAAAGGCACCAAATCCTTTTAGGACCAGTGTGAGCTCAGTGCCACGGCTCACATCTGTCTTTGGGGCTGAAAATCCTTGCAGTCGACATGGATGACTGTGTTTGGCTCAAATACAGACACATGAGCTAATAGAGTGGGAGGAATTACATTAAGCTATTGTTTTTGCTGTACTGTACATATATTATTTGTTTATCTAATTATTTATATATCTGGTACTTGGTTGTTAGCGCTAAAATAATGCATATTTAAAACACGTATAATCTACCGCCTATGATTGAACTATGGATAATAAAGCATTGGTATTATATTAGCGCTCCGAGACACTTCGTTCACTCCATACACAGTGGTGAATACTAGTGTAGCCACAGCTGCCCTGGGGCACACTGACAGAAGTGAAGCAACCAGTCTGTGCCATCGGCCCCTCTGACCACCACCAACTGTTCACACACACACACCAGACTCATTCTAGACAATGTGGTGATGTGTCTTGCCTTTGGATCCAACCACAGTTTGGCAGTTTACAGCCACAGCCGCCCCACTGTGGCACCTACTGTAGGGTTCTTGGAGGTCTCCCATCACAGCACTAACCAGGTCCTGCGCTGCTTAACTTTGATGTCTCCCACTAACAGAACTGTTTAGCTGGTGTGCATGTGTTTAGTGGTAGGGGAAATCAGAGTACCCGGGGGAAACCTACACAGGCACGGGGAGAACATGCAAAATCCACTCAGAAAGACCCTGTTCGGATCGGGATTCAAACCCAGGGCCTTCTTTCTGGGAATCGAGAGTGCAATCCACTCAGCCACCGTGCCGCCCGAATGTAATTTAACAAACAAAATCCCCATTCATGACAACAGTTCATTACAGGCTTACATTCTGCACGTTCACGCCCCGTATTTTACATCCTGACAGCTCCCATGTCCCCTGTCTCCTGCATCTCTTTGATTCCCCTCTCTCTCTCTCTCTCTCTGTGTCTCTGTGGGGATATCTACCTGCTCGCGCTCTGTCGTCTTCCTCAGCTTGTAGATGAATTCGGCGATGGCCACAAACACCGACAGCACCAGCCCAGATGCCAGCACGATGAAGATGCCTCCCAGGTTCTGGATCCCCATGGGGCCCGTCTCTCTGCGCTCCTCATCCAGACAGCTGCTTCCACTCCACCACCTCTCCTTCAGCACGTGCAGGCGGCCGTCCTCTAAGATGTTCAGGATGGCGATGGAGATTTTGTCCCGGTATGGCGAGCCTGGGAGAGAGGAGGCCTGGTTTAGTGGTGCCAGCTGGAGTCTGTGATAATAATAAACACATTGTGGCGTGCTGTCGGCAGGGGATGCCAGAGTTTATGTTTTGTCTTACGGCTGCGTGCTTCTACGCTGCATTCTGGGAAACATGGGATACTCAAAGTGTCATCAAGTAGAAATTAATGTCACTTTATTTACAGGACGGTTTTACTGGATACTAACTGTGCTTCTAATTCACATGACGTAAGCACGGAAACAAACATGTCTAATATTATGCTATGCTGAAGGTACAGTCTTAAAGGTGAAACTAAAAGTTTTTCTTTGTCCTCTGCTTTTGACCCGTCCTGATGAAACTAGGGCCTGGAGCAGTGGTCGCCATAGTACTTGGTCAGGAAACCTTCTCCATATGTCAGGAGTACCTGAGCTGGAGGATTTGGCCTATTGTACATGTTTTTAATGGTAGGGGAAATACGAGCACCCAGAGAAAACCTACACAGCGATGGGGAGAACATACTAACTCCACTCTGACAAGGATTCGAACCCAGGACCTTCTTGCTGAAAAGCGAGAAGGCTAACCGTTCAGCCACAATGCTGTGGAGGAGGTGAGGGACTGGGGGTGCTACACTGTAGCCAAAGTCACTTCCATCATGGACAACACCTCCCACTGCACAGGACTGTAGAGGAGCTGAGGAGCTCTTTCAGTGGAAGAAGGAGCAGGGCCTTTATCCCCACTGCTGTCAGACTGTACAATAAGTCATTTTAAGTCAATTGCACTCGGACTGAAAAACCTGCACTACTATTGCCTCTGTTTCTTTAACTGCCACCTTGTATTGTACATAATAGATCCTCAACAGACAATATTTTTAACCTTTAACATGTTGCACATGCACTTCTGTCTTTTGCACAAATCTGAGTGATTCTATTTGTGCCAAATGTGACATGTACATTTCTCTCCAGTGTGAGATCAATAAAGTTTGTCTTATCTTATCTGAATATTGTTCAAAAGTCCATTTACTTCTATAATTCAACTTACGATGTAAAACTAATACATCATATAGACTCATTACAAGTAAAGTGATAAATATCAAGCCTGTAGCCTGTAGCCATTGTTAATAATTGGCTCAGAGCTTTGGAAAAACTCAGAGTAAAACTCTAAAAATGGGAACATTTAGCAAATGGACTGTGAGCCATAATCATCAAAATCACTTTGCATGTAATGAGTCTATGTCATTTATTGCTTTCACACTGTACGTTGAATTACAGAAACAACCTGTTCTAAGCCCCATCTCCAGATCCACAGAACTTTAATAAGGAGAGTTCTAAAGAAAGTGGGGAGTTGTATGTAGAATGAGTTCTTGTTACAAACAATCCCTGAGGTGCCTGCTGTGAATGCACATCGCAAAACTACCTGAATGTTAAAAGACAGTGTCTAAAAGTAGAAAGAAAAAACAGTTTAAAGTTTGGTCTGAGTTTTTGATACAAGAAATCAAATGACGGTAGACGGACCTCTTTAACCGGGCTTTAGGTAGTGCATGTGACCGCAGCTGCCGTTGCTTCCACAGATTTAGCTCCACTAAATGTAGAACTCTTTCCTCCCTGTTGCCATTGGTGTTTCAAACCAGTCATTAAAGTCCTGTTTTATTGTATATTTATTGTCTCCTTGTTTGTATGTGCGCCTTTCTGCGGCTGCCACCAAAGTGCCCCTCGAGAATAATAAAGAAACCTTAAACCTTGAGCCAGCGCCTCAGGCTTACCGAGCGGAGTGCCGATGCCGTAGCCCTTGCTGTCGAAGAGCCCCCCCACTTGGGTGAGGTTACAGTTCCTGCGGGTGATGTAGTCGATGGTGGTGGACTCCATGATGAGGGCGTAGTCGGACTTGAGCACCCTCTGCACCCCGTCCTCGATAGACTTGACCAGGGACGTGCTCTGCTTGCTGCTCATGAAGGCCCACATCTTCTCGAACGTAGAGACTTTGGATTTCTGCAGAGGCAAAAAAGAAAAGAAAAGACAGGGGCTCTTTGAAAAATGCGGCTTTGAACGTCACATGGACAAGCTCGTCTCGCTGCAGGTAATGAAAACGGTGAAATACAGATGCAATGGCTCCATCGCAGATTTTCCAGTGTTATGGCCCAAGGTGCGAACGCTGAAAACTGCAAACCATAAAAATGTGCTGTCTCCAGGGCTCAATAACTGTACTACAGAGAGAAAGATACAAAATCACATTCTGTATTCAAGGTAACTGAATACAGCAATTTTTGGAGTTATCTGATATATATTGTGTGTGTGAGCGTCTGTGCATGTGCGTGTGTGAGCTAATCAGTTTTATTTAGAATCTGAACCCTTTTGCTTCTTCAATTTGGTTTCATTCATTCATTTTCATTGCCCTTTATTAGTCTATTTGTGGGTCTGGGGTTGGCAATCAAAGCTTAAACACAAATCTCATAGCACCATCTCCTCATTGGTTCTCCTGATGGTGGTGGGTCCCGGGGAAGATGGCTGCTCCGTCAGCGATGACACAGCCTTGGTTTTAAGATCATTTAAAAAGAGTGTATTTTGTTAAACCCGACTGACATACAAGTTCATAGCTCTACAAATTTGAGAAAAAAATAAATCCTAATATAATGAGCGTATATGTGCGTATAAGGTCACACACAGCGCTTAGAAATGTTGTTCAAGTACAAGTCCCACTCATTCACAACACACCGTGATGACAGAAGCGAGACTCCGCACACCTGGCACAGAATTCCATAACATAACATCTGGTAAAAGTTTTTTAATGGTGGGGGATACAGCAGCACCCGGAGGAAACTTACACAAAACATGCAGCCGTCACACAGAACGGCCTGGAGGTGGAATCAAACCCAGGACCTTCTTTTGCTCTGAAGCACAAGCGCTAACCACTGCGCCTTCGTTTCAATGGTTAATATGAATCCTAATACCCACAAGCAGAGCACAGACAAATCCAATCTGTATAAAATCTATTTACCACGTGGCTTTCCAAGGACAATGACCAGATGCTTTTGCACACACTTTTACTACAGCCCATAAAAATTCAACAATAATCAAAGTTCTTTCTGTTAGCTCTGCACCAGACTGTGTGGTATTACACACTATTTACTCTAGGGTCACATTTGTGGCTCGTCTAATCCAAGATAAATACTGTATAAAGACTCTGAGCCATTTTCAAACAGTGAGTCCTCCTTTGTGTGCAGATCTGAATACTTACATAGAATGAAGCAGGTAAAGGCAGAATTCAATGAAGGGTGAAATGGTTTATGATGAAGAGTTTGTGACACTAATCTGAAAAGGTTGCTCTCTTGGGTTGTGAAAGTAGGAATATGCAGCTTAAAAGGTACCGTATATACAGTATGAGGATTTTACCAGATGTTAGGAAAGAACCGCGCTCTCCACTTTTTGAACAAAACTCTCTGGTCTTGTTTGACGAGCACGTATCACCAGAATGATTGACAATTAGGAGGACCAATAGTCTTGATGATCCACTCAAAAGTAGAAAATCTTCTGCTATATACCTTTAAGCAAAACTTCAGACTGGTAGACTAACCACGCACGTCATCGCACCAGGCTTCCTCAGCCAATCACATCAAACTCACAAAAAACAGCCATGGGTTTGAAAACTGGACACTGCTCACTAAACAGCCTTTTAAGCAACAACCACCTCCTCCTCCTTAGATGTCCTGGGTCAACACTGTGCTTAGACCCTCAACCACATCCTGTATATATCCACCTATAGAAGTCACTTGAAAAGCAATGCAGTACAGGGATAGTACACAAGTTCCACACATTGCATTTCTGATTAACTTTGCCCCAGTTTGACAAGTGCGTAAACCTCTCATCTTATAATTACCACTGATGACTCAATCCATAATCAGGCCGGCTCACATTTCTGAACTCGAGTGGCGACATTCAGTCTGCCTATGACGCCATCTTCCTCCTCAGGTGAAAAGCCAAAACCCGCCGTAGATGCCACAAAACCTCCTCCATCAGGCGCCTTGTCACCGTCTGCCACTCCAGCTGCACTCGGATCAGCTAACTGCACACCTGGGGCTGCTCTATTTATGCATCAAAGCTAAAATCAGCATCATCAAACTCCACCGACCGCACTCCAGAGATGTTTGGAGGGCTCTGGGAAAGGTCAACAAGTCATGGTGTGATTTGATTGTATGGCGGGGCAAAAAAAGGGGAATTAAATATTGAAGAGGCTCAAAGCAAATTCTGCTTCTGCTTGAGATGAGATGGAAACATACTGCGAAAAACACACATAATGGATTATCCACTAGTTATAGGTTAATTTATGGACATTTATCGATATGTCTGGACATTGGTCATCCTGCTCCCGATGGATCATGGCTCCTAAGTGTTTGTTATTATTACATTTACTGTATGCAAACTGTTTGATTTTCTGAAATGTAAGACGACTGCTGTTGTGTTTTAGGGTTATACATAAACAAATAGAATTAACTAAAGGGGATGTATGCCACTTCAAATGTATTTCAATTTGAAAAGAATAAATCTTTTCGACCATACTGTATGTCTCTATAGTATCAACTATATTGAATTCATAATAATACATTATATATTTAAAACAGTTTTTCATTTTGAGTAAGATTTAATGGTGAAAAATAGTTAGATGAGAGTTTAATGGTGAGGGGCCTCAGCGCTTTATCCATCCATTCATGATTTTAATTCATTGAATTAAAATGGATAAAGAAATGGATTAAGGGGAAGAAGATGGATGAATGGATGGATGTACAGTAGTAGGACACTCTTCAGTCGTTCTGTCACATGTTAAATAAAGGCTTGAAAATCATACGAAAACGTTCTAATTGTTTATGAAGGTTTACCTGATCTTCTTTGTAGGATTAAGTTAATGCTTTTCCCAACATTAAGGTATTACCAGAGCTGTCTTACAATAAAGAACCCAATAACATATGTATTTATTCAATTGATTTTGAAGATTACTATTATGCCTGAAGGAGGTCCTAAGCTATGTGTAAATTAGTCTAAACTAATGTAAATTAGTTTAGGTCTGATCAGTCAAACTTTGTCTTTGAGCAAAAGAAATGGAGCCATCCTCTCACTATCACAATCTGAAATGCTTTTAATCTGGTGGATTATAGGAGCTGGTTTCTGTCCAGGCTAATGACATCAGTAGGAGAACTGTTCGTCCCGTTCATGGGGCTGTGGTCCAATGATCTGATCACTAATTTGTGGGAATAATTTATTCTCTTGTCCACATGCCACGAGGAAAGCTTAGTCTTCTCAACAACAGAAAGGGTTTGAAGTCTGCATTTGGCAACGAGGCCATAGTTTGGACACCATTATTTATGACATGGCTGTTTGACAGTTACATAGTGCACTTTTACTGCACTTTGAAACAGGTTCTAACAACTCTTTCTTTGCTGCATTTGTAGATTGATTGCACTGGCTTAAAACGCATCAGCCATCTTTTCTTTCGATTTCAATTCAATTCAATTTATTCTTGCAAAGCCCTAAATGACAACAATAGTTATCTCGGAGCAATGACAAAAACAGACAGAGCCATTGGTCTATAAATGTTGTTGAATGTTGAGTTGACTTTCCTGGATCTTCCCCACTGTAAACCCGTGATATGATGTGACTGGATACTCTGCTCTCTATTTCCAATGTGTTCATTTCTAGAGCAGAGAGAAACCAGGCACTTTTTCTCGTTTTAAGACAAGCAAAGATAAATATAGCTATACAAGTGATTATTGATGGCCATATTCAGTGTAACTTTTTGCAGTGTACCCCAGTTTTAACTCAGCCTGAAAACATAATCACCTGGAGCCTTTGGCAAGCTTTGGGGGCTAAGAACTGGGGCAAATAAGAATCAGAACTTTTTTTTTCTATTTTTTTTTTACTTATTACTGAATTTCTTCATTTTGTTCAGTAGAATAAAAAAGACATATTGCAGAGACGGGGCTGCTCCAACTCTGTTACATGTGTTTCTCTGCGCCAAGGCATCGGCAAAGCATCTGAAGGCAACGCTCAAAATAATGGAAAAAGGCAAAGACCCTGCAGGCATACGCAGAAAGTTCGAAATGAAAAAAAAGCTGGAAAAAAATCATTATGGAAAACATCAAACAGTGCGCGGCAGTGGAAGAAGCTCAAGAATCTTGCTTAGCTGAGGGAATTAAGATCTTACTGACTTTATAGTTATACAGTTCATGTCTTTTGTGGAATAATATCGATAGTTTTGCATCGCAAGGAAAGAGACTGGAGTGTAGAGAGCTCCAGTTTCACTGAATTAACCCCGATGCATTTGTCATCAAAACAGATCTTTAATAGTTTTGTCCAGAAAGAGAGAAAGTAGGTTACACACAGGTAGGACTAATATGACTAATAAAGAGGGAAAGATTTTTGTATCTAATGTACACTGTTATACTTAATGGATTACTAAATATATTAGCAAATGAAAGGGGACTTATTTTACAGCATTTGGATTTATATAATAATAATAATAATAAAAAATAAAACATCATAATAATAATAATAAAAATAAATACAAAAAATAATAATAAATAAAAATACAAATCAAATTAAAAATAATAAAAACAAATAAATAAAATAATAATAATAATAGTACACTGTTAGCAGGTAGCATTCGGTAGCCTTTAAACCAACTATTTTTGCTTTATTTCAAGTCTTTTTCACAACTTTTAACTCATGTTATAACCGAGTAAATGTAAATCCAAAAAACTCATGTTACTTATACTGAACCAACTTAAAAACTAAAGCTTTGGTGAAAATGTTACTGTTTATTAAGTGATCCATTTTGGCAAAAAAACAAACAATGCAGGTTGTATGTTTGTTTTCCTGGTTGCTAAAAAAGTAGCAAAAAAACAACTGGGTTTACTTTTTCTAGTCAAAAGTCATATTATAATTTACAGTATATTAATTGCCATTGATTTGAAGCACTTCTGTCGTATTAAGTGGACCGCAGTTGAATACCTTGAAGAAAGACATGGTGGCCCCATCTTTGACCACGCCATACTCGATCTTGGTCTGCTTTGCGATGTCATCAGCGGAGTCTAAGGAGGAGTCCATTCTCTCTACGGTGAGGAAGGCGGCCAGGTTGGCGGTGTAGGAGGAGATGATGATGAGGGTGAAGAACCACCAGATCCCTCCGATGATGCGCGTGGACAAGGCTTTGGGCATCAGCTCTGAGCCTATACACAACACACAGGACAGAGGCAAACAAGCATTGCTCTCTGATTATTGAGACAGAAGGTCATTGAGATAGATACATAGGTAGGTAGGTAGGTAGGTAAGTAGGTAGGTAGACACATACAGTAGGTAGATAGGTAGGGAGGTGGATTTATAGGTAGGTGGGTAGATAGATAGATAGATAGAAAGCAAAGCTAACCAGAAACATTAGAGCAGGTGTTGAAATTTCCACATTATTCTACCAAATAGAATAAACTTATCACTTATCATTTGCTAAGCACTCCTCATTCCTACTGTTATTCCAACGCTGACATTTCCCCACTATGGGATAAATAAAGGATCACTTAACCTTAAGGATACCAGCCCAACACTCCTGGAAAAGCATATCATGTGACCCAGAAATAGTTTGTGTAAGCTCTCAGTCGTTAGGGTGAGATTAGGGTGTCTCTAACCACACCAATAGGTTATAAATCTCCAACGCACGGTCTGAGATTCCATTCCCTTGAAAAAATTATTTGGATTAAGGACGAAACCTTGGGTGAGAAACCTTATCCATCCATCCATTTTCTTCCCCTTAATCCATTTCTGGGTCGGGGGGGTGGCAGTCAGAGCTGCACCCAGCACACAGAGCACCAGCCCCTCACTGATCCTCCTGCAGATGCTGAGTCCACAGGAGCTGAGATCTTTCAGCAGAGGCTTTAGGCAAAGTGGGGTTAAGTGTCTTGCCCAAGGACACAGCGACAGCAGTCATCAGTGGGAGTTGTGAAGTAGGTCTTTCGGTGGGCTCAAACCCACAACCTTCAGGCCCAAAGGCTCTGCCAACTGAGCTACTATCGCAACCTTTTGTTACCCAGAAATAGTGCAACTCCATATAAAAGAGATACATTGGACAAGAATCACTTCATTAGTATGACCAAAAATAAGTCTGTCCCAATCATTTTCCCTCCAAAAAAGAATAAAAATCATTATCTACAGCTTGACAATCGCTGTGTGACTTTGATCTCTGTCTGCCTGATCTTGTGTTGACAATAGCCCTCTGACTGCTGTTAGAATTACTTTATATCTCATCTGTGACAACCTTTAAAATACCCTTGCTCTGTGCTCAGAGTTCCTTTACTGGGAAGATTTATGGGGCCAATTCTGCAGAGTAACAAGCCCTCAGACGGGGGGCACCGTGGTCAGCTCTTTAACCTCTCCCACCAAATTTGATTGGATTTGTCCTCTGCGGTTTGACATACACCGCGCTGGTTACAAACAAGGCAAGACGCTGCAATCCCTTAATTCACTATGACTGGGGAGCAGGGACATCCACATCCATACTACCGCCGCACTGAAAGATGAAGTGAAGCTACGGCTAACTCAATTGAATCCTATGCTATAAAGCCGAGTTGTCAGCGGGGAGTTGTATAAGCCAGCAGCCTAATAAATAGCGGAGAAGATCAGTCATAGGGTGGCGGGGAAGTAAACAGTGTGTCAATATGCCGTACATTTCCCCCAGAAGGACTCGGCTCTTGTAAAGCAGAGAGGCGTAAATGCTGGATCAGAGAGGCATCGGTGATAGTCAATAATAAAAAGTCTCTGTCACAATGTGATGTCTGTGATACGTGAGCCACAGAAGTTTCCCCAAGAGGAATAAAATACATCTTTCGGGATATTTTGTAAATGTGACACAAATAAAAACACAGTTGAGAAAAGCCTAGTCTAACCCTAACCTGGAATTGCGAAGGACACCAAGCAAAAGTGGAGGAATATCTGTGATTTTGGGCGGCGGCGGTTAGCAAGACGGTCTTTCTGTGTGGGGGTTTACTTGTTCTCCCTGTGTCTGCTCCTGTTTCTACCGCTTAAACATGTACAATAGGTCTGACACCTCCTGTGTGGCGACCCCATCTCTGTGGAGTCAGAAGAAAAATGCCCACAAAAATTGCCACTGCATGTGAAAGGCGCTATATAAACAACGATTATTCACTACTTTTTATAGTGTAATTGTGTTATTGTTCTAGTGCAATATTTTAGTAAAACAAATCTACATTGATCATGGCACATGCAGTTAGAATGATTTTACTGGAATTCCCTAAACTAATTCAGAGGAAGTAAGGCAGAAATCGGCTCGGTCCATGAGTCGTCAAAGCCAAGTAGTTTGAAAAAGGAGCATTTGGACAGATGAGACGGGGTGACATGTTTTACCGATTTGAGATATTAATCTTCATCTTACAGTGGATGGAGAGAAGAAAAATACTGCAGGTTTTCTTTTTATTTCTATCAATTAATAAAATCGTGAAAATTGATCGTAAGAAAGTTTGTTACGAAAGCTTGTATGCAATCCACCTGCCTCCTAAATGGTTTGAAAATCAGGTACCAACAATAATTTAATTTCTTGCCAATATATTTTCAGGTTTGTATGCAGAAGACGGGAACAGGGGAGCAGACTGAAAAGCATCAAAAACCTTCCACAAGGAACTGTTTTCTGGAGGTATTAAGTCTCTTTTGAAGGATTTGATCAGACAGTGACATGTTAGTGCCATATGAACCAACTCTGCTGGGACTCTGAGGAGCACAGGGACTGGCCTCCTGCTGGGACTCTGAGGAGCACAGGGACTGGCCTCCTGCTGGGACTCTGAGGAGCACAGGGACTGGCCTCCTGCTAGGACTCTCAGGAGCACAGGGACTGGCCTCCTGCTGGTCCCAGAGTCACGTGGAGAGTGTTTCAGGAAAAGTGAGACAGACTTCTTCTCTGACAATGTTCAAATCCAGGCTGAAGGACTTCTGTAATACACTGTGACTGTGTCTGTCTTGTTGTACCAAGCACTTTGAGTTGTAAGTAAGTAATGTTTATTTATATAGCACATTTTACAGACCAAGCGCTTTACAATGTCCAGAGTTCAGATATTGTTGCAATCATTCCACACACGGTTATGACGGAAGCGAGTCGCCGAACACACAGGACCATCAAAGCTCCCGATCAACACCATCCATTCACTCTTATTTACATTCATACCTATTGTACATATTTGTAGTGGTAGGGGAAACCGGAGCACGCGGAGGAAACCTACACAGACACTCAGAAAGGCCCTGTTCTGACCGGGATTCGAACCAAGGACCACTCAGCCGCCGCGCCGTTGTCTATGAACTGTCCTATACGAATAAACTTGCCTTGTCTTTTAGTCCTTGTCCATTTGAGTTTTTCCTGACTGTATGTTGAAATAATTGTCTGTTATCGTTCTGTGTTCACAAACCGTATGTGCCCTGTTCTTGACGACGGCCTCCTCTGGGCCTAAAGAACCAGTCCCTCGGTTGAGAATGATCTCCTCCACTCTCAGTGCACTCCCACATTAGCATAGCTGGTGGCGCTCGCTGCTAATCGCTTTTAAATAACACCACTTATGAATGGAAATGTTTATTGAACTGCTCTACAGACTGTGGATTTCAATGAAAAGAAAGAAAATGTCACACAATAGTCCTCCATACATAATAGAGCATATGGGCCTTTGAACAACAACACATCTGCTTTGTTTTGCTTTCCGAAACAAAACTGGAGCCGAGCCAACTTGCAAATCAAACAGTTTCAGAAATACATTTTTATGGAGGAAACCAAATTACTGGGATTCATCAGACATATGTTTGTCGCGAGCACGGAGCCTGGCGGGACCCCCAGGAAGGCTCTGAAGTTCTCAACGTGTTTGCTTTTGCACCTCGTCAAATTTCGCTTTTTCTTTGTGTCGCGGATGACACCTCCCTCCCACAAACAAGCTGCGCCATGATTTTTTTTTCTCTTCTTCTTCTTCCACTTTTTTTTTCTTTTTCCTTTTTCGGATCTCCTCAAACACGTCCATTTGCATTTTAAACATGTCAGAGAAAATGGCTGCCATCTTGCGTGCTGTCAGGGCTTGGCAGACAGGAGCGCGGCGGCTGATGGTGTGACACAGACAAACAGGAGAATGCGGCGCCGCTGCGGTGGAGGAGGCAGCGCGAGGGCGGCCCGACTAGTCACTCATTCTGGGGAAGATTATATGTTTGAGGCCACTGCCAGGCGCACTCTGACAGTAGCTCATTTCAAATTATATTCTAGTAATGTCTCTGAGTAGAGGGATTGTGAGACGTGTTAACTATAGTAGAATTTGTATTGTCCCCCGAGCTCACCCTGTTATCTGCTTCTTATGTTTCTTTGCTCGGATGTTGCGCTGTTTGGTTGGAAACTTTCATATTCCTCAATTATGGATGATTTTTGTGCTTTCTATCTGAGAAAAAGCCTGAGACGTTATACTTAATTCTTTCATTATGCTTATAAGATTTTACATGTTGTGCGATGCTTGTTGATGCAACACTGAAATTTCCCCACTGCGGGACAATTACAAGATCTAACCCAGCCCTAACCCTTTAATCTTGAATGTTGCCAAGTGAAGTAGTTACTTGTTTCTATCGTAAAAGCAACATTTGGTTAAAAATAACCAACTGCAGGAGTATCCAGGCTAAACAATAAGTGGGTCGTCATGAGAACAGTTGAGGAACGGCCCTTTAAAGCTGGAGAACATAAACCTCAACATTCATCCAACTATTACCTGGAACTGAAACACTAGTTTTCACGTGGCTGTATTGTTGGCCTCTGTCACATGTTTAGATCTGGTTTTTCAGAAAGAAAAGTGAAAAAGAGAGGACCACCTCAGATCTCAAATAGTGACTCACTACTTTTAAAAGACTTTCCTTTGGAGCAAACAACACTGAGTTATTTAAGAAACAAACCCAGGTATAATTAAAGTTCTATGTAACTTATTTTTGTATAGCCCTAAATCACAACAACAGTTTCTCTGAGGAGATTAAAAATGCACCTAATAAACAGGGAAATGATTCAATTATTACCATTAACTGTGATACCAATCTGAGAGATGGCGATAATTCATAGAAAAACATCACACACTTGTACCTGTTTGTGTGCTATATCCCCCCCTTTCTATTTCTTATTTTACATTGTTTGCAAACAGCCAATTCCAGTTGAGCTTAGTCTCCGCGACTACTTTGTTTTGGTTCCTTGGCTCCCTGTATCTCCTCCACCGGTGCCAGTAAATTGGCAGAGCGTCTTCGCCAGAGCTGCCGAGTTTGTGTGCTTAATGAATTGCTGAGCGTGTTTGCCAGTCTCTGCACCGAAGATCCACTACTGCGCCGCAATAAGCCTCCTTGATTTGTCTCGTTACTCCGGGGTTAAACATTTTATTACTCTAGTCTTTCGCTTCACAGCTGACTTCATTACGGTATTCCTGGGACGATGGTTTGGTTACCTTTTGCTTTAAGGGACACCGGGCCAGTGATAAACTATTGGAATCATGGCGTTTTTTATCAGAGGTGCAGGAGAGAGTAGAGACGGGGCAGAAGAAAGAGCACGGTGAGATGAATCGTTTATTTTGGAAGCTACCAGGGCTGCCTCTAATAGGGTGCTATTTCCTCTGATTTATCAACACTGATGCCGCTTTCAGTCGACAATTTAGATTGTTTCAGAAAAAAAGGCATCTACCTAATGATTAGACAGACTTTACTTTATTATAATATCACATTGTTATATTATGTCCATTACTATTGGAGCTGGAGATCGTGGGTCCCTGATGATATGATGTAAATCTCTATACACGGCTCACGATAGCGACAATATCACAATACATAACTACTGCCATGTCATGTCATTTTCATCCCTCGTTAGTCTATTTCTGGGTCGGGGGGCAGTCCTCAAAGCACCAGTCCCTCAGTGATCCTCCTGCAGGTGGTGGGTCCACAGGAACAAACTGTGCACTGTCTCAAAATAAATATTCAGAAGCGTATAGCTAGGGCTTTAATTAACGATTATATTGATACTCATATAGTTGGCAAATTATAATTTCAGTTAATCAATAAATGTCATTTCATACATCCATCCAATTTCTTCCCCTAATTGAATGGTTTAGCATTTTTTTGTTGAATTGAGGTTTTGTTTGGATTATGAAAGACACCCAATATGAGATTATTCTTTTTTAAACCAAAATTTGATGTGTGAACAAGGAAATTGTATGTGAAATATATACACACACAAGTTGTATATCTATCTATCTATCTATCTATCTATCCATCTATCTATCCAAACAGCAAAACCATCCCACGTCACTGAAAACCCAACCAAAATAAATATCCCTAAACTTTTCCCCCACACCTCCATAAAACCTGCACCTCCCGCGAATGAATATCCCCGTCCCATTAGCGGCGTGATTAATTGCCTGGCTACTCATCGCGCTAATACAAAAGCGACATCTGGTTTCTCAGCTTGAGTTCGCGCACCACTGTACGGCGAGACAGTGCAGCTCTTCAAAGCCGCTCAGCCTACCGTACCTTGACAGCCGGCATTTGTCAGACATGTTCCTTCAACTTAGCCTTTTTGCAACACCCCCAGCCCCCCTTCCGCCCATGCTCCATATTCTTGAACAGAGCCAGCCGGTGCATTATGGTTAGGAGGAACAAAAACCATGCATGCCACTATGTTTTTCCATCCTTATACCTGCCAGGCTGTGACAAGTACTTGACACCCACTCTCTCCCTTTTTAAACAGCCTCGCAAGGTGACAACAACCTTTCTTTGTCATGTACGACTGCTTGTTCTTGACAGCTAAATGTCTTCTGAAAAACAGTGGCGGGATGGAAATCAGGGAGCTTGTCAGCGCAAGGGAAGGGAAGAGGGAAGGGAGTAGGAGTTAGGAGACGGAGTGCTGGTATTGTTTGTGACAGGGGAAGTGGAGGAGACTAAAGTGGTACCTTGTTGCATTAGGGAACCCACTCCGAACCAGAAGCTGTTGAGCAGGGTGAAGTTATTTTCCACCACGTCTGAGCCGGGGTTACAGGGATGGGCGTCGTACCACTCGTAAGGGCTGAACCTGAGGGGACAAGACAGGAAAAAAGGTTTTATTTGGATGTTAAATTGTACATGCTGTTAAGTAGAAGATATCCTTTATTAGTCCCACAGCGGGGAAATGTCAGTGTTGCATCACCAAATACAGCTCTATACTCTATACTAAATAAAATCACATCTCTAGCTTTGGCCTAATAGGGAAGCGATATATAATCTCCAACTTTAGCATAATGAAGAAGCAAGAATTAAGTACAAAATCTTTGACTTTAGCACAATAAAGAAGCAGAAAAAGTAAATGCTAACATGCTAGCAAACTAATTACGGTATTATTAAAAGTACTAAATACAGTAAAATCCATCTTGTTCCTGGATCTAAAATATATGCATTTATGTTTGCTCATTTCTTCAGAGAGAGGACCTCCTCACTCAGCCAATTATAGGTTGCGTTTGTGTTGTAGAATTCTTTTTTAGTTGGAGGGCAGGTGCCAACGCAACTCTATGGGAAAGAACCAATTTTTGATCGTAAAGTCCAAGATATTTGATGGTGATTCACAACATTTTTAGTTTTAGTTCACAAACTAAAGTCTTGGTATTTCTTCTCAGACTGAGGTAAATCTTGAAGCCATTTCTTTTTTTCAACTTTGTATTTTCTCTAAGAGCCACAACATGGTTATGTTTGGGTTTAAGGTTAGGATTAGGAACAGTAAATATGGTTAAGGTTAGGGTTGGGCATGAGGCAAGGGTTAGCTTGAAGCGGGACAAAATAATATGATTATGGAATTCCTGTGGTACCTTTGGCCGTTTTAGTTTGAAGTGGGTCAAGAATTTTACTATGAGACATTTTTCAACCAGGCCTACAGGCATCGTTCCACGCCATACACAAACATCTCGCATAGAAACGCAAGCAAACAATTTGGATTGCACTTTGGCCGCGGCGGGTGTCAGAGTGCTGATTTAAAATCCCTGATTCACCACTAATGTCTAAAAAGGTTGGTGCTGTCAGTGAAGGCCTCATCTCCGCGGGCTCGCACTAAAATGTCTGCTAAACACACTATTAACTGCCAAGAGGGCTCCTACACATCAGCAGATGACTTGGCACCACCGCGCAACATAAAGCAAAAGTGCCATGTTTGCATTTACAAAGATTATATTGAGTTTTCACTTATTTGACTCCCGCTTCACTCTCTGCCACTGCCTAAATTACACACGCCAGCCTTGTCACGTCGGCAATGTTATTTTTAATATGTTTATCGACTTTAAGCTTTGGTACGTGACCCTGAGCGCCGCATAAACAAAGTCACGTTGTCTGAAGTTGGATATCAGAAAGGCTTTAGGAAACAGAGAAGAGCATTGAAGCACAAAGTTGGCCTCCTGCTCTTTTGGATAATGTGGTGTTTGAAGCTATTGTTGGATCTGTCTAAAATAATCTGTTTGGAGCCGTCATGGGAAATGTAACGCTTTCTAGGAGACATACACTACAAAAAGTGTTATTTGTCAACATTTAATCAGACGTATTGTAATTAATCGCATGCGTCCTGTTGCATTATTTAGTGGATGAACAAAAGAAGAAAATGGGAAATCTGCGGGGAAATTAATTACTTTTTTTGTATGTGATGAATTTAAATACAGTATTACCATAAATCATAAAGATATAAAATGAAAGATTGGTGTAATTCCTCATTTTTGATGATTTCCAATGTTTTTACCACTATTTGGATTGTAGCAGATATGTTTTGATGGATTTATGTTAAGTTATAAAAGATTTAAAATATGATTATGACATTTTAGGGTTGTGAAATTTTGGGACGGTATCTATCCATCCATCCATCTATCTACTGTATCTATCTATCTACTGTATCTATCCATCCATCTATCTACTTTATCTATCCATCCATCTATCTACTTTATCTATCTAGTGTATCTATCTATCTACTGTATATATCTACTGTATCTACCTATCTACTGTATCTATCTACTGTATCAACCTATCTACTCTATCTATCTACTGTATCTTTCTACTGCATCTATCTACTGTATCTATCTATCTATCTACTGTATCTACCTATCTACCTACCTTTGCGGTCACCATGGGTGATTTTACCTCCTCAACAGCCCCCATCACCTGTGGTGTGCCGCAAGGTTCTATTTTAGGCCCCATTTTATTCTCTATTTATATGCTCCCCCTAGGACACGTTATGGCCCGTCATAACGTGTCCTTCCACTGCTATGCGGACGACACACAGATCTACCTCCCGCTGAGACCAAACGACCCTGGAAGTCTGGCTGCTGTGGTCGACTGTTTTAATGATGTGAACCGTTGGATGGCCCATAACTTCCTTCAACTCAACACCTCCAAATCAGAAGTCCTCCTCATCAACCCGCCTCCATCCATATCCCACATCCAAACCCACCTCGGCCCCCTGTCCTCAAACATCACTCCCTCCGCCCGTAACCTCGGTGTCATTTTTGATTCTCACCTCACCTTCCGCTCCCACATCAATAAAACCACCCAAACCTGCTTCTATCACCTCCGCACCATCTCTAAGATTAAAAACATTCTCACTCCTCCCGATCTCCATAAAGTCGTCAACGCCCTCATCTTCTCCCGCCTCGATTACTGTAACTCCCTCCTCTCCGGTCTTGATGCTAAATCCCTCTCCCGCCTCCAACTGGTTCAGAACGCAGCAGCCAGACTTCTCACTGGTTTTAACAGAAGGGAGCACATCACCCCTGTTTTTAGCGTCCCTCCACTGGCTCCCTGTGCGATTTAGAATTGATTTTAAGATTTTACTGATTACTTTTAAAGCTCGTTTAGGTCTGGCACCAAGCTATATTTATGAACTTTTAACCCCCTACGAGCCCCCCCGCAGCCTTAGATCCTCGGGCGGGTCCTTGCTGACCATTCCAAGGTCGAGGCTCCGGACGAAAGGTGATCGAGCCTTTTCTGTCCGGGCTCCTCGGCTTTGGAACGACCTGCCCGAGGAGATAAGGCTAGCACCATCAGTATCCTCTTTTAAATCTCTTCTTAAAACCCACTTTTATAAAACAGCTTTTAATTGTCAGCTTTAAACTTATAATGTTGTATTTTACTGTCTGTCCTGTCTGTTTTGTGGTCTTGTGTTTCCTCTGTTTGTCTTGTCTTCTTGCATTCATTCTTATTGTTTTAACTTTGTATTATAACTGATGTATTGTTTATTATGCTGTGCAGCACTTTGTAAACATTGTTTTTGAAAAGTGCTTTATAAATAAAGATTTATTATTATTATTATTACCTATCTATCTATCTATCTACTGTATCCATCCATCCATCCATCCATATATCTATATACTGTATACAAATGAAATAACATGGATTTAGCTTAATGTACAATTTACTGTAAATAAATACATTGTAATTATATTGTAATAATATTCCTGTTTACACACACAAACACAGAGATGTTCAGTAGTACCCTTATTTTTCCTCAATGTCGAGCAAGTTTCAAAAGTGGTCACCTGAACCAACTCGACCACTGTATATCTGGAGCTATACTCACACACCTCTACAGACGACCACTTCTGAAACTTGTACGTAGGATCCTTTCTGGACACTTCTTGCTGCCACTACACCTGTGTCCAACATTCCCCTCTCCGCTCTCTCACATGGATGCCCTCTTCCAAACCCTTCTTCCGCTATCGAAGCCGCTACCTCACCGACAAAAAGACAAAAACCAACAACAACAAAAACCCCTCCAGAAAAACGGATGAACAATTCCAGATGATTTTAGCACTTGTGTAAAACCACTCCACAGTTTGTTTGGTCGCCCTCAAATGCATGTAGAGAGAAGTGCAGCTGTTTGCTCTCAAGATTTGCAATTCCTTTCAGCAGCTGTTTTCTCACACTTCCTGTAGCACCACTTTGCATGGCGAGCAGCAGGAAACACAGACAATCACAGCAGAAGCACATTCACCCCATTCACATCCACCGCACTGCCACACTCCACCAACCCCAAAAAATTATCAGCATTCACAAATGTCTCTTGACGTTTTCTAAAGCCTAGCGTACATCGACAGAGAAACTGGGGACAACTAGTTGCAAGGCGGATTTTGGCAACTGAGAGTAGATGGTGGGAGATGATCAGTTGCCAAAATTGGTCGATGTGAGCGCTCTTACAACTGGAGATGATCAGTCGGTCTCCAGTTTCAGTCAGTTGCCCGTGTTCTACTTTTCGGCAACTAGTTGTCCTCAGTTTCGGAGATATGACCCGATGTGCGCGCTCCATGCGCCGCTCCGACAACGTGTGTGTATTGCGTGTATTGCGAGCCCGTGTGTCAGAAAACACACTGTAGGTGACGGACAGTTGCTGTCGATGTACGCGCTGTTATTCCAGAGACTGGTCTGATACTGGGAGTTGCCCGTTTTCGTCAGATTGTCGATGTGTGCGGGGCAGCAACTCATATGCGACGGATATAATCAGTTGCCAGTCCGATGTACGCTAGGCTTTAGGCGATGTCGCTAATCTATGACTGGCTTACTCTAACTTTTTTTCCATATGCAAATTTGATCTCCAAACCTATCTCTCATACCTCCATTACTTCAACTGTTTGCGTTTGTGCCACTAGCATGCATCAAATGTAGCTTTATGAATTCTCTAATTACTACAAGCATTTTGGATGTTTCTTATGACGCAACCAGCTCCTATAATGCTAATTGCAAAGCGTTGCAAACAGAGCAGGACTGAGTGATATTATGTATAAATTGCCCATATATCAGAAGTTCACCATTATACTTTGCAGCCGATGCAACAATTTCTAAAATAACAAATTACATGGTACAAAAGAACAAGAGCTGTAATAGGTTTCTCACTTTCTCCCACTGGGTTTGCAGAGTTTTTTCTTGCTGATGCAGGAAGGTCTAAGGACAGAGGTGATAATCCAGGACACTCAACATTCAACAACATTCATGGACTTTATCAACATACTGTATATGGGCATTGATCATTCACCCCTTATGGACCAATGGTTGTGTTTTTTTGTTTTGTTTGATTCTCTGATCAAACAAACAAAACAAAAATGAATTGAATTGAATTCTAGAAAATATCATCTCTGAAGTGTCTTATTGATAGTGCTGTGTTATCTATATCAGTTTAAAGTGTTGCACTAGCACCATAATGTTTACAATAATGACTGTCTCTGTTCTTTGAGTTGGAACTGTACCAATCTGCAAAGTCTGGGACAGATTGTAAATTCAGACCAAAGCACATGCACATCCATGATTTAAGTTTTAAAAAGCAGTAATTGAGAAAAGTATCATCAAATGTTTGTAGATTTGCTATATGTCTTAACTACTTTTGGACAAGGTCGAGCCACATTTTGGGAAGCATTGGACTAGATATATTGCTAAAACTCCACTCGCCTCCATTGACACCTTCTGAATCATTGATGTTGTGCTAACACCTAGCCTGAACTCTGCTCCTTCAGCATTCTCTATCATTCTCTATAATGGTGGGAATCATGTCCTCTCTTCAAACCACTCGAAGCTCCGCGGCGCTACGGTATCGTTACGTCTAGGCGGGATTCTGACCTAGAGGCGTTCAGTCATAATACATTGGCAAAGAGTTCTAAACATAAAGGTGCCACATTGAATAAAATTGCTCTGTAAATACAACACCCAGAGATAACTGCAGCTATTTTTGCATTCATCCTCCATTATGTGCCAATCTCATGCCGACATTTCTGCCTTCATCGCTACCCAGGAACTAACACAGTGGCAGGCTACAGCGTCCAGAGCACTCCTTGCACAGCCGACAATGATAACAGACTAAATTACTACGTCTATTGGACGGACCACATGGAGGCAGACATAATGACCAAAAGGTTAGACAAGCAAACGGCTTACCTGGCAATGACAAACAGGACACAGCTTACGCCGAAGTACGCCAGCAGGATGTAGACCCAGATATCAGGGGTCATGGGGTTGAGGAAGGAGAAGAATCCGCTGTTTGTGGAGTTGGGTTTGCGGTACAGGATACTGATGCCCATGTTCAGGAAAGGTTTGGAGAAATCAATGACTTTCTCGCGCATGTAGGTGATGGTGAGCGGTGCCACAGCCAGGTCTGCTCTCTGCAAAACGCAAGAGGAACATCATCAACATAAGCCTTTATTATCTACTATAGTTGTATCAAAGACTATAGTTTATGGACAAGGCGAACTCCCTGGAGAAATACAGCCTATTAGTGAAGTTCTGTGTTGTTCCAATTTGCTTTGGCTCCCATTGAACATTGTATATATAGTCTATACATTTGTCCAGCATGAAAAAACAGGAACCAAAGGAAGAAAAAACAAATCATTCCATTGATATTACCTTGAAAAGTAAATCTCCTCTCGCTTTGTGTTCATTTGTGTAACATTTAAGAGATTAACAAACCGTGCTATTAAGCTTTGTAGGATCCTGGTGATTTTGTTATAATAATGTCTTTCTTAATCCAGCAGTCATTATCCAAAACAACTGACCTATTGGTTTTCTTTACCTTGCCAGCAGGAACAAAACCAGCACCTCTTGTGATTGGTTCTATGGTGTCTTGGCCGTTGTTACCTATATCATTTGCATACAGATTCCCGCTCATACAAAGAATGTTGGAGCTAGCTCTAATCTACTCTACACAGGGACAAACATCCTTGGTGACAAAGGCAGTCTATGATTTATAAAGTATGTTTACAAAAGCCAACACTTCCACAATACCACATAGAAATCTTAAGAACGCATTAGACATGCTTCTTCTGTCCACATGCTAACACAAGCTCCAACTATCTAGAGCAGGTGACTCCAACCTATAGCTTCACCCTCTCCACAGTACTAATAATTTTATGATAACATTTATACATGGTTTTGATAGATTGTTTTATGGGCGACAGTAGCACAGTTGGTAGAGCATCGGCCTTAAGGCCAGAAGGTCGTGGGTTCAATTCCCACCTCTGTACCTTCTCCACTGACTCCCACTGATGACTGCTGTCGTTGTGTCCTTGGGCAAGACCCTTAACTCCACTTTGCCCAAAGCCCCCACTGAAAGATCAAGGCTATGCTCACACTCAGAGAGCAGCCGTCCTCCTGTGGACTCACCACCTGCAGAGGATCAGTGAGGGGCTGGTGCTATGAGACTTGGGTGGCATCTCTGATTGCCACCCCCCTGACCCAGAAATGGATTAAAGGGTAGAAAATGGATGGATGGATGTTTTATGGGTATATGAATAAATGAATTAACACGTATTTATCATTGTGTGTCAAGGCCCAGCCCTTTGACACTACATGACAAAAAAGTGTGAAAGTTCCCGAATTTCGCTGTATTGATTAGAGAGATAGATGAAGCAAATTTAATACATTTTCTTTATCTGTGCTTGAAATAAGACTACAACTGATTGTTCCATTGTTTTTAGAATGTCTTAATATTTTCAAATCAAGACAGAAGAAACTTAATTCATTACAGTATGTCTGGTGTCTACAAGGAGTAACTCTCTGCCAGTGTTGACCAGAAAAAAGTAGCTGGTAGTAAAGGCAAAAGGCTGGAGACCCCTGATCTAGAGAGTCTATATACGGTCGAGGATGCAGCTTTGGTGGTATGGCAGGTCGTAGAGGGATAATCCAGTGCCAACAAAAATAAATCTTGGAACTGTTTATGAAAGTATGTACAGTATATGATGTGAGGGGTCACACCAAGCCAGAAGTGGAAACAGCAGCCTTTACTTCTATGCACAACAAAAAGAAAACCAAGAAAAACTAATAAGTGCTGAAGATTCAAGACTTCTTAACATATCCTGAACTGGGAATTAAAACCAGACTGTATGGGTGGTATATATTTGTTCAAATGTTTTACTGTAACACATAAAACAATGTATAAATAGTTCAGGCTCACTCTGTCTCTCTTACTGTCTCGTTGATGATAGTGCCCAATGAAAACATAATTTCAGTCAATCTGATATTGTGTGTATTAATATAAAGTAGACGCCTCATTCCAACGTCAGGAGACATCAAATGTTCTCCCTTCCAAAAATCTATTATGTGGTGCTTTGAGAATGACTTATAAGATATTGCATTGGATGGATCCGCGAGAACAAGACAGATCTCTCGTAGTGGACCATTATTTGACATCATAGTGCGGTGAATATTCAGAAGGTTAGCTGAGATATTGGCGCCTGGTACTGACGGTACGGCTGGACAGGAGGTTAATGGAAGCAGCTGTTTGGAAACGCTTGGATAGCTCTTCCTAAACACACACACACTTTATCATATGGTTCCTCTACTCGGACTGTCGAGAAGTATGTTGTCAGGAACTGAGAATAATGTATTAAAGCTGGGGTACCTAACTTTTTTGTGTAATAAATAATACATATTGTTGAAACCGAAAGAGTTTTGTCAATGTAAAATGTGGTCAACAAATCAGACACAATCAGTGGTCTTTATCTTATTAGAAAACATTGTATAATTTGCATTTTTAAATTCAATATCAATACAATACTTTATTTTGGACACAAGAGAAAGGTCCATAGAAGACATACAAAAAACACATTCTAAAAAACAAAAAAAAGATAAAAGTTAAGTCATTTCCTGTATAACTCTGAAGCCAGTGAGTCCATATACTGGATGAGTAACGCACCGAGCTTAAGGAGCCCTCTGAGTCACTATTTGTTGGTTTAGGCAGAGAGCTGATTGGCTGACCGAGGGTGCCCCCCCCCTTTTCTAAAAATTAATGCATGTGAAAGATGGATTTAGGACCAAACTGTTTTAAGAGCGAAGAACTAATTACATTGTTCCATTTTTACCTCTGCCAAGGATGTAAAGTGATCACATGTGTTTGACTGTTTGTTTGTCTCTGGGCAACAGAATGAAGAAAAAAAACTATAATATAAAACAAAAAATATTACAAAAGTGAAAAAATATGGGATGATTTGGACGTCATTGTCAGGGAATGTGTGTGATGACCCAGTGAACAAACTCTAGGACCTCTGGCTAGAGTCTTGGCCGAGGTCTACGGGTGCTTTTAGGTTTAAAAGTTAGCTACCCCAGCTTTAAGTCTAGATTGATGAAGAATGTATCAGTCACATCCACTGCTCCCGAAGCTCCACAAAAATAAACTGTATATTTGTCAATCATAGTCCTTCTCATACTTGCATTGTGCATTTTTAAATATTAAGCAATAAAATAACTAACTTTCTTTCAGCTTTAACACATTCGCCTGGATACCATAACAACTTTTCACTCCCTTGCCGTTCCGGAGGCCACGCAGATTTAAGTTTACGGCAGTTTTTTTTCCCAGACTATTTTCTCGTTTACTCCTGCGATACCTCCCACACAAGAGCAAACACAAGTCAGACAAAACATTTCCTCCTCGTTTCGTGGATTAGACGCTCTGGTGGTCAGAGCCGCGGTGGCTAAATGCAGTATGGAAGGGTGTAGGTCCCGCAGTGCGTCGGCTGTCTTTCTTAAACTATTTACATTTCCGCCGCCCATACTGCTCCACCCTCCGCCACGGGTTGCCAAAACACGACTTTGAACCAGGGGGTTGCCAGTCAGGCGGAAGATCAACCAGCATGCGGTTCTCCCCAAACGTTTCGCTAATATACATGCAGCCCGAGCTTGTTCTGCTGGCTGAGAATGCGCAGGGAAACTGGGCATGAGGCAAGATAGAGCTGATAGTGCCCCGCCGCGTGCCACATGGCTCAGTGTTATCGCGCTCTGCAGATGGCGAGGCCTGGTGCTGTTGTCCCCACAGACCGCCTCACCTGACAACAACCCGCCAGCTTCTATTAAGGTACAATAACCTCGCCATGTTCCAGATCAGTTTAGCGTTTAGAGATTTTTCGGAGTGTGGTGCGTGACGGGCTTTTGTGTAGTCGGTGCGTTGAGTGTTGCGCTGTCTTTCCTAATGCAATGGCTGGTGGTGCAGTGGTTAGCACGTGTGTGTTTAACCCTTTAATGGTTTCCTTAACCATTTGGTAGATCATCTTTTGAGTCACTACATCTACTTGCTTGGTTTTAGGCACGTTTATCATCAAACTGAATCTCAATTATTTGGTAAAGGCCTGTGATGAACAAAAAAGACTAGTGGTAAAAACTAATGTTATTAGTGTCCTACATCTCCAAAAATCAAAAATAAAATAAAAATAATAACATTGCTTTCTTCAAGGAGTGAATGTTAAAGGGTTAAAACAAAATAGTCCTCGGTTTGATTCCATCTAAAGGGCTTGTGTCTGCATACTGTAGGTTTTTTCGGGGTGCTCCGGGTTTGCCATACTTCTAATAACATGTACAATATTGCTCTGAATGAAATGTTCTATGTGTGGAGAGAATGGAAATCACTGGTAAATAAAACATTTAAATTGTTTTGTGTGACCTTGGTCTGTGAAATGCACGATGTATAAATACAAATTACTGACTTATTTGGCAGAATTTGAGGTAATCCGAGAAATAAAACCATAGTTTAGGAAGATTCGTCTTCAAGAGACTGGCCTGCGACTCAGAGTTGCCCGTTTTCGCCAGATTGTCGATGTGTGCGGGGCAGCAACTCAGAGGCGACGGATATAATCAGTTGCCAGTCCGATGTACGCTAGGCTTTAGAATTAAAAGTATAGGCTTCTTCTATACCAGGCAAATTGTTTGACTTATACTGTCTGGTATGGTACACAATACTTTTAAATAAAACTATATTTCTTGGATTATCTCAAGTGCCACATGTACTTATTTGTCCTAATACAGCCTCATGAGCTACTAAAATATTGCAGTACAATTAGGATTGAGATCAATAGGGATGACATGGCTTTGTATCGGTTTGATGATTGTCTTCTCCAATGCAATGGCTGTGGTACTTCAGTGACATAAACAAATACATCCCAATTCTATTAGAAACAATAGGACCATATTTCTAAAATTGTCTTGTAGCTACAGTACTTTCCAGACTAACAAAACACTGTGAAGAAAAACTACTAGAAAACTGCAGTCCCATTAAGTAGTCTGTGTAAGATCAGTTTGTGTACATCGTCTTCCTAATGCAGTGGCTGCACAATGTAACAATCATCATTATTCTGAGCAGACTAAAACAGGAGAAGAAAGGACAGTTCAAAATGTTATG